CCTCTACGTCTGACATACGCAGAGGAGGCTATGAACTATTACGTCGGGCGATTTTGGGAAAAGAAAACACCCTCCGTTTTTCTTAACTTGTGGTTAGGCCACCTGACTGTAGGGGTAGCTTAATGTAGCCTTTCTCCCTATTTACTTTACTAAGTTTAATTGTAGCTTGACTTGGGCACTGTGTCCCGGAAAAATATGTGTTCGACCAGAAGGTCGGCAGCAGGCTGCCGGCCCTCTCTTCGGAAGTTGTGTGCTCGATCAGGCAGTCGCCAATTTGGCAAAACAAGTTTTGGTCTCCTTGCCGGCTGAGTGATCGATGGGTTTGGCCATCGAGCTTGCGTTTGTCGCACAGGGCCTCGATGCAGAGGTTTCGCGATTGCTTAGGGCAATTTGGTCCTGAAGGGCTGATTCCTGAGGGATCTTTTGTCTGGAGGCCTTAGCCATGTGGGCTTTAGTGAAGTGTGGATCTGTGTCCATCTGTTTTAATTCTTTTCTGTTAACAGTTTGTTTGTTAATATGAGTTTTTGGGTGAAAGTAATGGGGGGTGGAGTTTAAGGGTGGGTGGGATGTGCAATACCAAGTTTATAATGCTCTCACACACCCCGTGTATGTTTTTTGTGTTTTTGTTTTTGTTTTAACTAGTTAGTAAAAATAACTAAAATAAGGCAAATCTAAGTAAAAATGGGGAGTGGATTGGGAGTTTGGGGTATTTTTTTATGAGTATGTGCTCGTTTTTTGGTTTTTTAATTTTTTTTTGTGTTTTTGGGTCAAAACTGTTAAGCTATCGACTGGAGTTCTCTATGCGAATATCTTTACTTTGCGTTTGCTCAAGGTTGCCATACGTATCCAGCTAGCTGTTGTTAAGGCCGTCTATGTACTGTCCGTAGATTTGGATCGTAGTTTATCAGTTCTATTAGCAAACGATTTGGATGGTTTCTGAGGTTTTCAAATAGCACATATGCATGGCATACTTACTTTTGGAGCAAAAACCGAACAAAAATAATGCCGTGGAAGGATGTAACAACCGGTTAAACAGAATGTTAAAAAACCTTAACCAAACATATACATTCCCATAAAAATTTTTAGAAAAAGCAGAATATTTCGATTTCATAATAAATAGAACGGACCTACACATAGAAAATAAGAAACGAAAAAAAAAATGTATATTCAATTGGATAATAGGATAAAGAGTTCAGCAGAACTATTGCAGCGCTCTTGTGATATAAAATCATTTTTGGTGTCCGTGGGAAATATTCAAAAATTTCACTAAAAAAAAAACATTAAAATTAAAAAAAATAACAAAAAAAAAGAAGACAAAAACAGAAAAAATAGATAAAAAAAGCTAAAAAAAAAGTTAAGGAAACAAAACAAAATTAAATATGTGTATGATTCATCATAGTAAGACCTAAGCCTGGATAAAATGTGAAGGAAGTTTTTACTTTTTTGTACTTAACTAATACATATTAAATATAAAAAGACATAAAAGCATCTTAGGGAACTCCAATTTTTAAATTTATAATACTTTTTAACATTTGACATAAACAATAAGGTAGCTAATTTATACAGAAATAATCAACCATTCGTTAATACTTTATTTACGCAATTTACCATTTTATTGGGAAATAACCCTCAATTTATGTTGAAATTTAAATTTATTGACGTTTATACTTCCAAATCGCATACCGTTGTCAAAATTCAAAATAATAAAAAAAATAAAACACATTTTGTTTATGTTGTTTGCTAAAAAAATCTTCTAATAATTTTATTTAATCTGACTTATTCATATTGATAATTCAGACATTAATTATACATTTTAAAGTAGACAAGAATTGTTCCTGTGTTGTATGCACTTCTACCAAACAAAAAATGACAACGTATAGAGGGATGTTTACAATACTGGCAAAGAAACTAGGCGGATGGAAACCAACAGCAGTGACGCTTGATTTTGAAGATGCTGTTATTCAAGCTCTCAAAACTGTTTTCCCAGATGTAACACTGCATGGATGCAACTACCATTTTAATCAGTCAATAAATTTAATTATCAACATAAATTGTGGCTTATTTCCCATTAAAATAGTAAATTGCATAAGAGGCCACAAATAAATAGCATCCGAACATTATTTTATTTATGTGACAATAAGGTTTATTAAATCAACTATCTTTTTTAATTAGTGTACATTATCCCACTAAACTTTCAAATGAAGCAAGGTTTTTTATAACAAAATACTTTTGGCGTAATAAAATTAATAGTAAACATTTTCTCTTCTCATCAACGTCTGTGGTAAATATTATTTAAATCTTACAAAAAATTTGGTTATAGAATTATTCATGTGATAGTAGTAAAACAGGTAAAAATATTATTTGTTTATTAGGCAATGACCGCACATGCAACGATAAAATCAACATATTTTTGTAGACCACAAATGCAACGATAATAGCCGTGATCGCAAATGCTACGACCGCATCTGCAAACGTTCATTCGTGGTAAAAACCTTGGTATATTGCACTAGGAATCGTGATCGCTAAATCTATAAGCGATAATTGGATTAAAGTTCTTTGAGATGGAAACGTATAAAAGCATCCTGAAGATCTCATAGATAGATTATGTTACCAACGGTGAATTTTTCGAAAGTGGGAAAAATAAATTTAAAGAAAAATTAGTCCAGTCTGGTTATGCAAAAATCATAGATTTCACGGCAAAATTTTCCGCAGATATCTGAAGCTTTTAAGACATAGCTGGGGGTTACTAGATGATAAATAGATGAAAAAGTACTCGTATTTTTATCTTGCATTTGTTTTAAACAATAATATATGGTCACAATTTTTGATTTTTTGTCCATAAGTTTTTTCCCTTATATTTTAAATAAACAATATTTATTTAATTTTTTTATATCAAGAATATCTATATTTTCCCGTTTTTTAAATTAAAATTGATAAATAATTTATGGAGATTTTTGCAAAAAAGCAGTTTTTTTACACTAATTTATAAATTTTATTTATTTTTTTATTAACCAAATAAAACCGTCTTTTAAATTTGTGCGAAATTTCCCCAGATCGGACAAATAGTATAAAAGTTATTTAATTTATTTATTCCTGAGGCAAAATATTTAAACTATTGAACTTACTTTATTAATAATGCTAGACACATTTAACAAATATAATAGGGTTGTTTAAGACTTAATCTATCTCAGAAGTTAAATGCATATTGAGTTTTCATCGAAATTATTTATAAAATAAATATTTGAAAAAGTTTTTGTGTTTGAATACAATTATTGGATAGCTGGTAAAAGATTAACTCACATTAAAAAAAAAAAAAGAAAAACCTTTTATGACTAATAGGAACGAAGATAGGAACTATTTAAAAAAATCATATCTTCATTGTTTATAAATATTTAGAAGTAAATATTGAAACTTATAGCTATGAAATTCATCCAATTTTTCGAAACTTTACCCCCCCCCCCCGGAAATTTCGGAAAATCAACATATATTTTTATATATTATTTATTTATAAACATATACTTATATTTTTATAATATAAAAAATACATAATATATTTTATAAATTAAATTTCAGGTAATTTTTTACACATTATATTATGATATTCCTTATATTAATTATAATTATTCACTACTTTGACGATATATATATTTATAGATGTGTATAGGTACATCAGGTACATGTACAGTACGAAAACGGTAAACACATTTGTTCATCCAAAGGATCCAAAATTCCGTCAAAATACTTCGTTCCTAACTTCCTATTGGTCATAGAAGGTTTTTTTAATGTGAGTTTTTTACCAGCTATATAATTGTTGTATGCACAAGTCTGTATCTTAAAGAACATAGAAGTTATTACAATTGTTTATAAGTAACAAACATACTTATTTTTCAAACGTTTATTTTGTAAATAATTTTGTTGAAAACGCAATATGCATTTAACTTCTGAGATAGTCTAGGTCTTAAATAATCCTATGAAATTTGCAAAATGTGTCTACCATCAGCAAGTTCAATACAGCAAGTTCAATAGTTTAAATATTTAACGTCAGGGATAAATAAATTAAATAACTATTAAACTATTTGACTGATCACGGGGAAATTTCGTACAAATTTAAAATACGGTAATTCAATGTTAAAATGTATTAATAATATTTTATTTGGTTAATAACAAAAATAAATAAAATTTATAAATTTTTGAAAAAAACTGCTTTTTTGCACACATTTTCGTACACACATTATTTATCAATTTTAATTTAAGAAACGGGAAAATAAAGATATTCTTGATATAAAAAAATGATTTTTTATGTAAAAAATAAGGGAGAAAACGCAAGTTAAAAATACGAGTACTTTTTAACCTATTCGTCATCTATTAACACCCACCTGTCTTAAAAGCTTCAGCTATCTGCGAAAAATTTTTCGACCTTTTTTTAACCAGACAAATAAAATAATTTAAACTAACTTACAATAAAAATCATTTATAATATTTAAAAGCATAACAGAGGTGGGAAGGAGTGTTAGAACAAAACAAATATTCGCTAAAAACAAACTTAAAAAACTAGCTACAGCTCCAAACAACCTTTTAAGTAATTTATTAAGAAGCTAGAGCAGCTTTGATGATTGTCAGTCTGCATAGTATAGTTTTAACTTGACGAAGAAACAGTGAAAGTGTATTATGAAATAAATAATGATTTTTTACTTAAGAAACATGGTTTAACAGAAGAATAAAAAATTGTTTTATAAACTTCCAAACAAATTTGTGATGTCATTATTTATAAGATTAAAAAATTAAATTATTAAAAATTTTAATTAAAATTTTAAAAACCAGGCCGGAAATTTTAGCAAGTACATACAAAGTTAATTATTAACTCATAGAAATATTTCATATCGAAATAAAAAGTCACGGGTTCCGGTTTTCAATTCGACACTGAGTAGTCACTACCTAATAATAATTTTTGATACGCGACATTTCTGGCACTAAAGAGTATTTTGGCAAAATATCCTTACCCTCCAATGCTCGATTTCTGTCAGTCTGTTAGCTACAACGCATCCTGCGCTTCCAGCACCAACAATAATAAAGTCGTATTCCTCTTGTTTCGGTTTGGCACTATGGAAAGGGTTTGTAAAATCCCACGAAGAAAATCCCGAACTAAAGTCATAATCGTATCCGTATTTGTTCTTCGCGTCCGGTGAATACCCGAATAAATTCGCCACTAATTGCAAAAACAAGAAAGTCGAAGGTTGACAGGTTGTTAAATTAGTATGAACAGCACAAGGTTGTGATAGATCGGGTGGTGTCCATGTTTGTACCATTTCTTGACTTTGCACCTACGCTGACTAGATAAGAATAAGAAGTGAATGGGCTTTCATTCTAAGAACTTATTTGTCGCGGAATGTCGTGAACTCAAAGGCAATTGCACGGTTTATTTAACAGGGGGGACATGCGACTGTTAAAATAAACGCATTGGGTGAACCAAAAATAGTATATTTAATTAGGTATTTAATAATTTTTGTCGCGATGAAATAGAATCCATTAAGGTTTTTCGTCAAATTTTTTTTTAATTGATTTATCTTGTTACCTCATGTTTATATCAGTGCTGTTGTCTTTCCTTATTGTAATGTTTAATTAAAAATAACGTTACATCCGTGGAAATCTAGTATTTGGGTTTTGTTAGGATTTATTTAAAATACGCTAATTTTTTTATACACTGTCTAACATTTAGAGTACATGATGTTTCTCGGGTTCATATTTTCTGGTAATTAATTTTATTTTGTACCTATATGGGTTGAAACTCAAAAAAGAGGATGACTGTTATGATCTTCAACCGCTATATTTGATTTTTAATTAATGTAGCTTGCCATTAAATTAAAGATGTAAATTAAAGATAAAATTGAAGAGAAGAATTGAAGAGAGAATTGAATAAATTTGAAATTATAAAAATTTATCTCGTTCAGTAGTTTCTATATCGCTTATTGCTTTATTACCGTTGATTTCCAAAGCAATTTAATACATTATGATACCTTTGGCGTAATAAATATATTATTAATATGATCCTACACTATTAGCACTTTTAAATAATTTTTTAAAAGATTGGATATAATACAAGAAAAGTGGACAATACTTTATTATATTTATTTACTGCCAAATATTTTAAGTTTTAGTTTTAGATTTGTTGAGTGATCACAGCGGAAGATTTCAATTATAAAAACGAATATTCTTTTTGTAATTTGGCGTAATGACTTAATCGACCATTTTTTAAATACAAACCGTCATACATAGGATACTTAATTTAATTTGATTTTTGCTTTGTTTTTCATTTATTTTTAGCGGTTAAAGATATGTATAATAACTATTTCGAGATTTCTCAATGACGGGTTTTTGGGTTGGATAAATAAAACCTGCGAGCAAAAAGTTTTGTTCTCTACCTTGCCTAGAGCATTTTATGATCGTTTTTAATCTAAAAGCCATTACCAACAAACTGGACACCAAAAGTTTTTATTTACGCTGCGGATGATGATCAAAAAGTATTTATTAAGAAGAGCTTACCGTTGCATTGTAGCGTAAAGAACAAGACATGCATATAATTATGTATTTATATTTTTTTAATAATAAACATAAACAAGAAAAACCAAAAGCTTTCCAGATACATCCGTCTCCTTACTGCACACAAACACTCACTCTTGTAGTACACCAGTCCAGTTCTACGTCACCAATCCTAAGTTTTTCTTTCTCCTTTTCTCGCCTTTTTTCAATTACCATTTTGGCATTATGCAGCGTTGACAGCACACAAATCTCCTGTTTATCCTTCCATGTCAATAATGTTACCTTCCACTTTTGAACCGCGATAACTTCGTTTTTCTTAAGTTTGTTTTTTTTATTTCTGGTGTTAGACCCTTTCTTTGCATTTTAATAGTATCGTAGATATCTATGCGAATGGCTAATAAAAGGTCAGTTAGTTCAGGTGATGTACAAAAATTGTCTGTAGTTAAACAGTGACCTTTCGACAGTAATTTTTTCATTAGCGTCATAAGAATAAGTGTTGTTGAGACTGGAAGATCTTTATATTGTTCGTCAAATTTTGTATCCTTTCCCGTATAAATTATTTTATACCAAGTATATCTGGAGGGGAATTCGTGTAGTATGTAGCCTTATGCATTTCGTGCGTAATATAAATCGTGCCCTTTTGTTTGAAATGTATTGAATTTATCCTATACTAAAACAATTTTTAATTGAAGGTGATTACTTGGCAACATCGTACTTAACGAAGCCCTTAACGATAACTTTTCAACGAAATCGTATTGAAATTATCAATTTTACAGAGGCGTACCAAAAAATTTTTTAATTATTTATTTAAACACATAAGTAATTACGTAAAAATTAAATCTAAGACCGATTTAATTAGTAAATTATCATGTCTCTTTTAACAGGTATCTTATAGTTGTCTAACAAAGTAAAGTAAAATTTTATTCTTATTAGAGAGTATCTAATACAGAACTTCAAAAAAAAAAAGATAACTTTGGAAAATACTTTTTTTTTCATTAGACTAAAAACAATCTGCAATTTTAATAACACATCATTACACATCATTCTCTATTTATAGAATTGCTGTGTGCTGTAAACGTTATATTTGTTTTTTTAACTTAATTTGAAAGTTTCCTTGTGTTTATTTGTTTATATAAATATGAAAATGTATTATGAAGTTCATATAAATTAAAATGAAGAAAGCTAAACTATTATTAGGTGAATGCTAGTGAATGTTTATATAGTAGTGCTTTTGTTTATTTCAGTAAATTCTCTAAATATGAAATGAAGATGGCACTAACTACTAAAGAGTTAATAGCTTTGTTAGAAGAAGACTCAGATTGTGAAAATGCTGACTCATGTGGTTTATTTGCCGCCGAGATTAGATTAGAAAGTTTCTGATGTAGAACACATTGTTCTTCTTCTTCTTCCTTCTAGTATGTAGGCTTTAAAGTCTGTTTCTTCTTCAATATTAGCCTTCTAAATTGTTTGAATTATCCTACCCTTTTTTCTTGGTCTGCCAATACTTCTTCGTCCATTTGGTGACTTATCTCGTACTATTCGTACTATTCTATCCTCTGCCATTCCACTGATGTGTTCCACTCCTGTTTTCGTTTTGTCACCCATCCATTTATATCTCCTATATTGCATGATCTTCTTGCTTCTCCCCCTACCTCGCCGTGTATGTTAATATAGGTCTAATTGCTGCTTTATAGACTCTTGTTTTTGTGTCTTGTCTTAGGTGTTTGTTCTTACAGATTGTGTCTTTAAGAGAACCCGCCGCTTTACTTGCTTTTAAGCTTTGCTGTCGCACTTCTTCTTTAACATCTCCGTAACTAGTTATATCTATTCCCAGATATCTAAACCTTGCTTTCGGCTTTATTTCCCATCAATTTCGATTTTACACCGTAGTGGGTATTTAGTGGGTATTTAAATGTTTGTCATACATTTCTACTTTTCTGCTGATATTATCATATTGTATTTTCTTAGCTGTTGTATTGAAGATATGTGTTAATCTTTAGAGCTCGTCTTCTGTTTCAGCGATTAATGCGGCGTCGTCTGCATAACATAATATTTGATTTTCTTTGTTCGCCATTCATCAGCCATGACCTTTACGTACTGCTTGTATTATTTCGTCCATTATTATATTAAAGAGAAGTGGGCTTAACGAGTCACCCTGTCTGACTCCGCTTTGTTCTGGTATACAGTGTGTTACTTTTTCATTTATCTTTGCCTGTATTCGATTATGGAGGTAGATGCTTTCGATGGTTTGTATAATATTGATTGGTATGTTTCTTTTATACAGTAGGTGTAAGACGTCTTCGACTTGGATGCGATCGAAAGCCTTTGTCAGGTCTATAAAACATTGATATACTGGTTTATTGTACTCAATGGCTTTTTCTGTGATTTGTCTTAGTACAAATACGGCATCTACGCAGGATCATCCGGTTCTGAGTCCTTGTTGTTCATCTGACAAAGTTGTTAGTTTATGGATTTTGTTAGTTAGTACTTTTGTGGTAAGCTTAAGTGCGGTGTTCAGTAGATTTATACCTCTATAATTGTTGGGGTCTTCTTCATCTCCTTTCTTGAACATTGGTATTATTATGCTGTTTCTCCATGCGTCTGGTATCTTGCAGTGCAATATTAGTTTTTGTATAAGCTTTGTCATCTGTAGGGTCATACTTTCTCCTCCGTATTTTAGAAGCTCGTTGGTTATTCCGTCTGGTCTTGGTGAATTTCTATTTTTGAGTGAATTTATGACTATTTCTATTTCCTGAAAATTCCTGATTATTATTTTCCTTTGCTTTAAACAGTTCCGTCGGGTATCTTTACCATTCGTTTGTTGGTATATTATTGTATTCCTTAAAGACATTAATGATAATATTATTTGTGAAGTATCAATAAAATCAGATATTGCAGGTACATATGAAATACAAGTGATTGGTAATTCTAACGATTCTGATTATGATATTCCTCTGAACCACAGATAAAACGACCAATGAAAAAACCAGACAAAAATAGTAAATCCAAATTTATCTCAAGTTGTAATAACGGATATTCATTCGTGCTCAGTAGTAATTCAACATCAGTCTGATTGATATTTAGACAATATAAAAGCCAACCATGTAGGAAAATCATATATTGAAGTTTTTTTACTCTTTTTGATAAAAAAGTAATTGAGAATAACCGTCACAATTTTGAAATGAATAACATAGATTTAAATAAAATTATTAGCATATGTATATTATCTGGTTTACACTTTGCTTTAAGTTGATATGCATTGATCAAAGGATGAGGATAAAGAAGTGCATATTATAAGAGAAAGCATGAGTCGACATAGATTTATAATTTTAATTTATAATAGTGAAGAAACCGCTACATCAGTGTCACTTAGTACATGGACGTCAATCTAAATTTGCTTTACCAGATGAAACCAGATTCAACAATATTGGCCATATTACAAAAAGACACGATAGTGCAAAAATCTAGGATGTACAAAAGTAATACTATTTATTTATGTAAAAAGTTTAGAATGCATCTACACCCCGAATGTTTCGAAAATTTTCACCTTAAAATTTAATTTACGTTTAAGATACAATATGTTCCTTTATTAAAAATTGTACTGTTTTCCTTGAAGATGAGAAAAAAATTTTTTTTGGTTGTGAATCAGTCCTAATTTATGTGTTTTTAATCGAATCTAATAAATTAATTGTCAAATTTCTCTTTGTATATTGAGCGTCCGTTAAGGGTTTAATACTATATAAAGAATAAACTGGCCTCAAATTTATTT